TCCCTGGATGCATCATCCATGCAAGTTTGGTCCGGGTAGGGTTTATAGTAACTTGGGAATGGACCTGCTCCTAAAACTTTAACCTGGTCACTCATCTGGAAAATCTAGGTCAGATCCAGCATCCGAAGCAAGTGTTGTAGTGTCCATCCCTAGATGCATCATCCATGCAAGTTTGGTCAAGGTAGGGCTTATAGTTACTTGGGAATGGACCTGCTCCTAAAACTTTAACCTGGTCACTCATCTGGAAAATCTAGGTCAGATCCAGCATCCGAAGTAAGTGTGGCCATGTCCATCCCTAGATGCATCATCCATGCAAGTTTGGTCAAGGTAGGGCTTATAGTTACTTGGGAATGGACCTGCTCCTAAAACTTTAACCTGGTCACTCATCTGGAAAATCTAGGTCAGATCCAGCATCCGAAGCAAGTGTGGTAGTGTCCATCCCTAGATGCATCATCCATGCAAGTTTGGTCAAGGTAGGGCTTATAGTTACTTGGGAATGGACCTGCTCCTAAAACTTTAACCTGGTCACTCATCCGGAAAATCTAGGTCAGATCCAGCATCCGAAGCAAATGTGGTAGTGTCCATCCCTAGATGCATCATCAATGCAAGTTTGATCCAGGTAGGGCTTATAGTTACTAAGGAATGGACCTGCTCCTAAAACTTTAACCTGGTCACTCATCTGGAAAATCTAGGTCAGATCCAGCATCCGAAGCAAGTTTGGTAGTGTCCATCCCTAGATGCATCATCCATGCAAGTTTGGTCAAGGTAGGGCTTATAGTTACTTGGGAATGGGACTTGCTCCTAAAACTTTAACCTGGGACGCCGACGCTAACGCCGACGCCGACACCGACGCCGACGCCGGGGGTATAGCATAAGCTCATCTCGACTTCGTCGAGGTGAGCTAAAAATATATTCGGACACAGTCGGAGGGCCAGGGGCGCTGTGTGTTTATCACATCTTTCAATTTCTTTCGTCCTTAATCACATCGAGTGTATAACACATTCAACTGACTTTCAGCCAAATTCATCTAAAGGGTTACGCCACCACACGTGTACTTTGACTTGATTACAAACTTACTTTGTAAATTGTCCTTTTTCAGACACATATAAACATGTAACCTGTTAGGTTATGGTTGTTCATTTCACAATAACGTAACAAATATTAAAAAATCTAGAAACTCTCGATTAATTTAGAAGGGGGGGTTAGTAAAAACAAGTTAGTCTGAAAGAGGCCGTGATTTTATTAACTACATAATTTTTTCCCCTCTAAAACAATGATAATTACTTTACAAAGATTTTGACCATAAGAAAAGTTTTATTCTATACATGTACATCCCTGCTCTACATTCGCTAATTGATTTTTTTAAAAAATTTTTTTAAACCGTTCGACACATTTTTCATTACATAATTTCAGAATAAGGTAATATATGTACAGTAGTTGAACAGCATATTTGAGTTACAAAAATTGACTTTATGTGTGGGGGTGTGTGTGGGTGTGATATTAACCTCCATAATTTACAAGATTACAGATTGCAATAATCCTTAAATTATCAGAGAGTTTATGTGCGTGTATCTGACTCGTTTTTAATTTTATGTTAGATACACATTTTCTTTTTCTTTTTTTAAATTCTCTTTATGTAGAAATGATTTATAAAATAAGCCATGCATCTGATAAATATGACATATGAATGCATACGTATGGCCAAAAAATCTTTTTTTATGAAAATGACTGTAATTAAAATGAACACAGTTATAATCGAAATAAAAGACAACCAGATAAAATTACCGAAGTGTAATCACTATTTCTTCTTAGCAATATAATAGTCTATTGAACATATTTTTCTCTCTCATATAACTAGGTTTTGAAACGCGACTTGCATGGATGTGCGTACACATTTGAAGACTCCGTCTTTTCAGTGCCGGGTACAAGCACGTGAATCTTAGATTTTAGGGCATCTCATTTGTTCAAACATCTATATATCGATAATGAAGTACTAATATTTATGAAAAAAGTGGAAAAAAATATTTCAAAGGAAACTGATAATATTGATTAAACAAAGACAATGAAAAGGTTTTATTACTATCTAAATTCTGCGTGAAATTTTACTGGAACACTGTGATACACTGCGCGTACACAACGTGTTACACGGTGCGCAGGCACCCTAACTTCAAAGATGCCGACATTGATCGAGGTCCACGCAAAAGCATGGACTTGCGGTCCATGGGGCCCCATGTTTTTCAGGGAAAACTCTAGGCCTGTACTGTATCTATTCATATTTAAGTTGCATTAAATTAATAAATTAATTAGTCAATCAAATAAATTTATTCATTAGAACTCTGCATAAATGCAAACTGACATGATCCTTGCATTTATTATTTAGCAATGAATATGTTATGCTTCTGAGCCTTTCGTCCTCAGGGATGAATTTCTGTGGATTTTTTGTGTCAGCCAAGTTAACATAAATATGTCCCTCATGGAAAAAAGGTACATCTACAGTCCCTGAAACGTTCTACTTTCCCACTTGAACGGTGAGCGAACGCTGAACAAACGGTGAACGAACGCAGAGCGAACGGTGAGTGAACGATGTGTGAACGCTGAACGCAACTTGGTGAACGATGTGTGAACGCTGAACGGTGAGCGAACGCAGAACGCGAACGGAGCGCAAACGCGAACGCAAAGTGAACGGTGAACGAACGGTGAACGCAAGATGAACGATATATTCGGAATGCCTCTGATCTTTTCCTTGCATTGAAACTATTTTATTGTTTTATAATGTCAGTGCAAAAAAAATAAATAAATAAATAAATAAATAAATAAGTAAACCAATAAATGAATGAATAAATAAGTCAATAAAATAAATTTCTCCAAAATTGTGCTAAGAAAGACGATGCATGCACATTAAGTTTTTAATCACACGATTTTTATTGCATTAAAACATTGCAATTGTTGCCGAACGCTGAAGTATAAACAAATCAGAGAAAACTTCTGACTTATAGAATGAATTAAAGCGGTTGTAACATCCATTCATATATCTCCGTGTCAGGGCGATTTCGTGTAAAGTAATGAAAAAAAATATAATTACAAAGGTCAGTGGACGTTTTGCATTTATACGCTCATATTTTAAATTTTTAATACAATAATATATTATGTGTCATTTCTGTTTTTCATGATGATTTATTGAGCAGACTTCTACATGTATATGTAGATGGCCGTGGTTATACTCGGACAAGATAATACAAAGATACATATTCATATTATTTGTTATAAATTCAATTTTCAGAACTTGATATTTAAGTAATATGCTGTTATAGTTTTTATTAAACAGACAAATGAGAGAGAGAGAGAGAGAGAGAGAGAGAATTATTCCGTTTTAGCCCCCCCCCCCCTCCTTTCAGGCTTCACTAAATGTTTGTACCTATATCAAACAAAAACTCTTATTTTTTTTCTAAATATATCAGACAGTGAAAGTAACTTTTTTTTTTATCAACAATCATATCCATTTGTTTGACAGTCATACTCGTTTTTATTTTCCTGCTTCAAGTTCACACGAAGTCCACGTGCTTGTCTTGTCAATCAAAATCATTTGACACTGTGCAGGTGTGAAAGTTTCGTCACATCGAAGACGAAGTGCGAGTATTTCCAACAAGTTATAACATTTATTTTTATCATTTCTGGATTTGATCCCAACATTTGAATAATAAATGAATAAAATACATTGGGCATTAACACTTGAATTTGAAACATACTCTCCGCCAATTTCAAATACCACCGCCGACACGTGTACATTTTGAACTACTATTGTTTTGTGACTTTTTTAGATGCATGTTTGTTTTGAGACTGAAATTTTTGTTCTAAAAAAGACCTTACATTTTTTTAAAAAATGTTAATTAAAATATTCTGGAAATACAGTACTGACTATGTAACCAATCTAGGGGGGAAATTGGGGGGGGGTATTAATCATATCGAATGGCAAACCTATAAAGTCACGGTGAAGAAAGAATTTTTTCTCTATAACTATAGACTTTACATATTATAGTAGAGGAAATTTTGCAGTGTAGTATATTTCAAATAAATATTTCCTTCAACCATACTATTAATTTAATTCACTCCAAAGATAATAAATTAACAGGATATGCGCAGTACTATGTATAACTCTCAGAACTAGTTCTATCATATTTTCTGTAGTAATTGGGGAAAAAAGTGTTAGAAATAAATATTTTTGTAATTTTGCTGCGTGATTATTTGACTTGGATAATTATATCACCATTAACGATTTGTCGTCTTTAACAAAACAAAAAAATGTTGCAGTGCTTGAAGTATTTGCACATTGCCCTTACTTAAATTTAACATTTCAGCATCATTCTACATAGGTACAGAATGTGCTTATAACAACATTTATTTTCCAGAGTAATTTAATAAATAATCTAACAACTAAGATGGAATAATAAAAATATATATCGGAGGTATTTTTCAACATGAAATAACGATTCTTCAAACACGATATGTTATTATTAAATTAAAAAACTTGTAATTCCTTCCCTACAAAAAGATAAGTCCTTTCACTTCGGAGTTCCAAATGACAGTGAAAACTGAACGATAGGTGAACGCTGAACGCAAGGTGAACGCAAAGTGAACGGAACGAAGAGCGAACGCTGAACGCTTTGTGAACGGTGAACGCGAGCGCACGGTGAACGCAAAACTGTGAACGGAGAGCGAACGGTGAACGCACGGTGAACGCACGCTGAACGAACGGTGAGCGAACGGAAAAATGGGAAAGTAGAACGTTTCAGGGACTGTACAAAAATCTGGCAGATATGCCTCCAATTATTTGATCAACTAGTCTAAGTATTGCTAAATATTTAATAAATAATAATGGATAAACCTTACAATTTTAATATCTCAGAAAACACTATTTTTGACAGAAATGGGAAGATAATAAGATGGACTATTTTACAGTATTATACCATTACATGTAAATTGTTTTAATTTTAGAATTGTACCGGTCTAATGCTGAGAAAGGAGGGATCAATGACTGGTCTCTGTTCCAAACGCAGCCTCATAGCTTCATGAATCACTTCCAGAAATACATGAAGTAGGAAAAGGTAGCTGGATTGGAATGATGGTAAGCCCATTTGAATGAAGTGCTCACTCCATGCTCCAATATCTGTAAGACTGGAGCTTCTGTGAAAGACATTGACAGAAGTGGAATTGGCATCAGCGTAGTGGAGATCCAAAGCTGGGGAGGAGGACAACTGCACAGTTCCATCCACTTCTGGAGACTACAAATAAGAAAACAGTTCTCACTGTACATCTACTCTAGTAATGTTTTCCTTAATTATGATTCCTTTGTAATTGTCGTGAAGTTCATACTCTAATTATCTACCACAATCAGAAGGAATACAATTTTCCTTTATTGTACAATATATATTATCTCAATATACAGACACATAGTCAAGATTTCATATCAGCTGTGATTATCAAGAAAGAACAGATCCAAACATCCCAGACTAATTTTATATTAAAAAAAAAATTCCTTCAACAATTCTTAACTTGTGTTTATTTGAATATTCAAATTATTAAAAGTAATGTTTTTCATTCTGAAACTAAAATTTGCAAAGGAACATATAATTTTCAGAAATGTTTTTTTTTTCTGCAGAAAAATGTATTGCAGCTATCTTAATTGCCATAGTAGCTCTGAAAATGCCATCAATAAACTCACAACTTGTGTCATGAGCTTTTCTGCTTGAAGTTTGTTTGTCATTCATCCATCTGTTAACTTTTCACAAGACTATTCCCAGTGTTTGAAACTCATAGTAGAATTTGCTAGACATGCAGGTCTGACTGGTAGTGAAAGTTGTCAGCCCTGCCAAAAATCTACTAAGTCTTTTATAAATTTGTTTTTAGTAATAATGTGAATGGGGCACGATCACCATAACATCCATCCCGAATCTATAGGCTGTCGAATTCTACCCATTTGCTAGTTACAGTTAGCTGCCAATACTATTAGTCGATTTGAGAGATATTTATCAAATATATGAATTTTAATTTATGGCAAATTCTAACATGTCCAGCCGGGCTTTGATGCATGCAATCTGTTCGTCCGTGGCAAAATATGTGCGTCTCGGGCGCATGGTTATTTCAAACACTGCTATTCCTGAACAAGAGCACATATTGGTCACCTGAGCACTGTGGCTAGGAAAACAAGAGGCCCATGGGCCTAACTGCTCACCTGAGCACATTGGCTAGGAAAAAAATCAAAAATTTATTCAGTATTGAAAAGTTTACGGAGAGGGGGGTGTTGAATTTTAAACTACCTGACGATGCTTTCATATCAGGGATCGAAATTAACTTTTTTGACCACTAGCAAATTTTAGCTTGTGGAATTTTTTTTTAACTAGCAATATTGAACTTTCACTAGCATTTTTTTTCTTCTCATAGTAATTAAATAACATAGGAATTATCTGAATGATTTCACAGAAAACTAATTTACACCTTGTGAGTATTAAGGTAGTTTTATGCAAGGTGAAATCTGACCGGATACAGGGGTGTGCAATTAAAAAATTCAAGCACTAGTCCACAGAATATAGTAGCCCCAAGTAAAAAGTTACTAGCTCAAATGTAGGGAAAAAAGCAACCAACAATGAAAGAAAAACAATTCATCATTGAAAAAGTCAGGGTCTTGTGGTCATTCTTTTTTTATATTGAGAGTTTCATTCTCACTAGAAAAATTGAATCGTATATAAATCAATTATGATTGAAAATTAAAAAAACAAGATGTATTTGGCAACTTAGAGGAAAGGTTAAACTTTCTCAAACGCAAATCAAATATGTTGGTACCCAAAGTAAGGTCTTGTCTCGAGGAATATACCTGTGAAATATGAGAGCCCTAGCAACACCATTGAATAGACATGGAAAAGGTTCAAGTTTTTCAAAAGTAAGTAAAACATCAAGGTCAAGGTCAAAATTAATGGTGCCTAAGGAAAGACCTTCTCACAAGAAATATACTGGTGAAATATGAAAGCTAAAGCAACAATCGTTCAAAAGTTATGATCAAGGTTTAAGTTTTCCAAAAGTAGGTCAAACTCCAAGGTCAAGGTCAATGGATTACAATTGTTGGTATCCAAAGGAAGGTCTTGTCACAAGGATTATATATGTGAAGTATGAAATCCCTAGCACCAACGGTTCACAAGTTATGGCCAAGGTTAAAGTTTTACAAAAAAGGTCAAACTCCAAGGTCAAGGTCAAAGGGTCAAAGTTGTTGGTATCCGAAGGAAGGTCTTGTCACAAGGATTATATATGTGAAATATGAAAGCCCTAGCTCCAACGGTTCACAAATTATGGCCAAAGTTAAAGTTTTTCAAAAATAGGTCAAACTCCAAGGTCAAGGTCAAAGGGTCAAAGTTGTTAGTATTCAAAGGAAGGAATTGTCACAAGGATTACATATGTGAAGTATGAAGGCCCTAGCACCAATTGTTCAAAAGTTATGGCCAATGTTAAAGTTTTTCAAAAGTAGGTCAAACTCCAAGGTCAAGGTCAAAGGGTCAAAGTTGTGGGTACCTAAAGGAAGGTCTTGTCACAAGGATTACACAGGTGAAGTATGAAAGCCCTAGCTCCAACTGTTCAAAAGTTATGGCCAACGTTAAAGTTGGGTAAAATTTTGTAAAACTAGGTCAAACTCTAAGGTCAAGGTCAAAATGTCAAATGTGGTGGTACCCAAAGAATGGTCTTGTCACAAGGAATACACACGTGAAATATGAAAGCCATAGCTCCGACCAATCAAAAGTTATGGGCAATGTTAAAGTTTATGCGGACAAACAGACAGACAGACGGACGGACAGGGCAAAAACTATATACCTCTGAATCTTCGATATGGGGGCATAAAAATTTCATCTTAAATCATTAAATACTCTTTAGATATATTTTTGGAAAATCACAAAAGACCTTTTCTCTTGTTGATTAAGTGATCGTAAATAATTAAATGGGATATTTGCATGCATTTACCAGAAACAAAGGAATGGAGGAAATTCGGATTAGAAAAAAAAAAAACGATCCTTTTTGGAAGTAAATAAGTCAGGTAATCCTGCAAAATGGATAAGATTATGAAGATTTATGAACTATAGGAGCATGCTACCTGGAAAATTTTCACTGTTTGAGAATTTGATAACAAAAAAAGTGAATGTAGTGCTTTTCATGTATTACATGGGTAATTTTAATTTCTGCTAGCCCAAGGGGCTACCTCTGTGCATAAAATCACTAGCCCGACCCCCCAAAAATGGTAGCCTGGGCGTGAGGCAATGGTAATTGCACATCCCTGGAATAAACTTTAAAAAAATCTGAAAAAGATTGGGTTTTTTTACTTGCAAAAGTTGGCGACCACAGGTCGCTTTTAACTCGCAATTTCTGTTTTTAATTCGCATTTAGCGAGTATTTCCCGTTAATTTTGACCCCTGTCATATCAATATAACAAATGACTTTGCTGTTCTTGAGCAGAAGATTTTTTCCCATATATTCATTTGTAAAAATTTGATCCCCCATTGTGGCCCCACCCTACCCCGGGGGCCCTCATTTGAACAAATTTCATTCTACATTACCCAAGGATAGGGCTGGGACGATACTGAACTTAGCCGATCCGATACATATCATGATACCTTAGGTGCGATATGATACATATCACGATACACTTAAAACCAAATAAAACTAGAAAATTTTTTTAGAACATTTAATTTGGAACATAACAGTGTATGAAAATAAACCAATTCAACAAATGAACTGTGAATTCAAGTTTCTTGACTCAAATTACAGTCAATTATATTAAAATTAATCAGAAATATTTAGTTAATTTAATATAATCCGGCGTGTCTGACGCCATTTTGACGCTTATATCTTGAATTCTGTATCAGCAAGACGTTTGTACTTTATTTGTGTTTGTTTAAACGTCTTGATGATACAGACTAAAGGACTAAAAATTTCGAATTCTAAAGACCGGACATTTTTGGAAATTAAAAAAAAAGTGCGGTCAGGTATTGTGATACTAAATTAGATGAATCGATCTGTAGATCGTCAAAGTGAATACTGTGATGCATCGGTGCACCGGTGGATCGTCCCACTCCTACCCAAGGATGCCTCTAGGGCTGTCACGGTTCCAAAATTTTTCAGGTCGGGTCGGTTCCGTAAATTTTCTGTTCGGTTTCGGGTTTTTCGGGTCGGGTATTTACATCTATTTTAACCCTTAATTTCATGAATTCAACTTGAAAAATCTTTATTTGTTACATTGAATTTACATTGGAAACAAGGCTGAACCATGCGAACGTCTAGACATCGGTGACTTGGCCTACTATTAGCCACAACCTGACCATTCCTGCTCATTTTGATAATTATCTAATACTTCCGTGACAAGTGTTTTGTCATGGAATGAAGTAGATTTCAGTTGTGATGTTTATTTATCACTGTTATCGTCATCATTCCTTTGATTTCGACGCCATTTTTTGTATTGAACAGTCTCTAATATATAAACCAGACCCGAACCGAAATCCGGAAAAATGGAACCGGAACCGAACCGAACAACTTGGACCGCGGTTCTCGGTTATTTCGGGTACTCGTGACAGCCCTAAATGCCTCCACGTCAATTTGACTGATCATGGCTTTTCTGTTCTTAAGAAAAAGATTCTTTCCTATATATTCCTCTGTAAACTTTGATCACCCATTGTAGCCCCACCCTACCCCCGGGGGCCCTCATTTGAACAAACTTGAATCTACACTACCTGAGGATGCTTCCATATAAATATGACCAATCATGGCTTTGCTTTTCTTAAGAAGATGATTTTTAAAGATATTTTCCTATATATTTCTATGTAAAACTTTGATCACCCATTGTGACCCCACCCTACCCCCGGGGGCCCTCATTTGAACAAATTTGAATCTACACTACCTGAGGATGCTTCCATAACAATATGACCAATCATGGCTTTGCTTTTCTTAAGAAGAAGATTTTTAAAGATATTTTCCTATATATTTCTATGTAAAACTTTGATCCCCCATTGTGGCCCCACCCTACCCCCGGGGGCCCTCATTTGAACAAATTTGAATCTACACTACCTGATGATCCTTCCATATATGACCAATCATGGCTTTACTGTTCTTAAGAAGATTTTCCCCCATTGTGGCCCCACCCTACCCCTGGGGGCCCTCATTTGAACAAATTTCATTCTACACTACCCAAGGATGCCTCCATAATAATATGACTAATCATGGCCTTTCTGTTCTTGAGAAAAAGATTTTTTCCTATATATTCCTCTGTAAACTTTGATCACCCATTGTGGCCCCACCCTACCCTGGGGGCCCTCATTTGAACAAACTTGAATCTACACTACTTGAGGATGCTTCCATATAAATATGACCAATCATGGCTTTACTGTTCTTAAGAAGATTTTAATTTTTCACTAATTTGTTATTATCTCCCCTTTGAAAAGGACATGACCCTTCAACTGAACAAACTTGTATCCCCTTTATCCAAGGATACTCAGTGCCAAGTTTGGTTGAAATTGGCCCAGTAGTTCTGGAGAACAAGATGAAATTGTGAAAAGTTTGCAACGACTCACAACAAAGCCGACGACGACAGACAACAGACAAATTTTGATCAGAAGAGCTCACTTGAGCCTTCAGCTCAGGTGAGCTAAAAACTGGACCAATTTCTAATAAACCTAAAAAAAAAAAGCATCCTTGCCAGTGGTTCTTGAGAAGAAGTTGAAAATGTGAAAAGTTTACAGACGGACGGACAGCTAGACAGACGGATGGACAAACAGACAGAAGGATGGAGGACGGACAACGGGTGATCGGGAAGCTCACTTGAGCTTTCTGCTCAGGTGAGCTAAAAAATTTTGGATGGAAGAGTGACATTCAGACAGACAGGTGGACGAACAGACAGTGATCCTTGCGGGGGCCCTAATAAATTGAGAAAGGTCTCCACTTTTTTGTGTATAAATTTATATATAACAATAAATGGCTCTGTAGCTCTCTGGTCATCCATAGCAACTTTTTTAGACCAGCGAAGTTCGGGTCAGCAGCTAATGTAATTGGAGAGCATGAAATACAGGTTCAAAGACAAACATATGTCAGATTTTCAAGCTTATTGTAAGAGTATCATACAATTAAATATATACTGTACAATGTATATGTATCATACAATCAAATACCTGTATATCAGAATTGGAAGGAATCTTTGGCCTTTGTAAAGCCTCTCTAGCCCTTTGTAATGTTCTATCTAAAAGCTCTTTGAACCTCAGCAACATTTTATTCATCCCCATTCTTTTTAAAGTTTTGTCTACATATTTCCTAAACAACAGTTTTGCAGGTGGATGATGAAGCTCATCTAGGCTTGCTTCGCTTGAAGCTCTAGAGAGGTTTCCTGAGGAGTAGGTTGTCCTTAATCCTTTGTAAGATATCTCAGAATTCACTGGACTTGTGTTTCTTGATGACCTTGTACTATTTAGAGTAAATGTTACACGTTTGGCATTCTCAGTTTGGGTACTAAAGCTTTCAGAAGTGTTTTCTAGTTCATCTTCACTAATCACACAAGATGGCTCTTCAATTTTTGGAATATTTTGCCTGCTAAAACAATTAAAATCAAAGTCTTCCGAGAACCGTGGACTATCAAGGTCTATTTCTGGCCAGTCATAATCTGATGCATGTTGAGCACCAAGAATGAGTCCTAGTTTTCGGATCTTGTGACATAAATCTTTGGTAATACTTTGCCAAAGGTACAATGATTTAACTTGCTGAGTAAATTGTTTATTACTATACATTTCAAATTCTTTTGCAAATGCCTTTGATGTAGGAAATAATTGCTCACATGCATCCAGTTTGTTTAGCAATTCCTGGACATAAATAAGAGCTTCTCTTTGCTGTGCAACTGTTTCTGATGTTAATGTGAATGAATAAGGTGTATTCTCATTATTTTGAATGCTAAAACTTGATTCTTCTTCACTTCTTTCAAACTGTTCCAAAGAGCAATCAAATTTGAAATTCAGTATTTCTTCCAGAACATCTGGAATTTTCTCTCTTTGCATTTTCAGATATTCTTCTTGTTCATTCAAAGTTTTAAAGCCGTGTTGGTCCATCTGAAGTTCAAGCCACAAGTAATCTTTATATCGCTCCTGCCATAACTCCTGCTCAGAACTGATCTGTCTTCTATAGCTCATCTTATCTTTCACTCCCTTTACATCTTTTTCTTTTTTTGAATGTGAACCCATATTTATCAATGTTGAAAATATTTTGAAAAAATCCACTCTTTCTTTTGGCACTTCCACATTAACTACAGACTGTCTTCTGTGTTCACTTCTGCCTACATTCCAGCTTGAACTCAATGACTGTCCCATCGAGGACAGGGCATGAGATTTAAGGTTCAATGATGCAAACCTTCCAGAGCTGTCAATCGGAATTCTTCCATGAAAGTTCAAAGAAGAAAATCTTCCTGAGGTGTCAACCTTTGCAGCAGCTTGTGGAACAGGAACATCGACTGTTGTTGTGTCTATTGAAGCTAAATCACTAGAATTTCTCTTTGCTAATCTCTCATGAGCTATAGTTTTTGTCATGCTTTTTTTCTTCAAATCACGACTATCCATACTTCTTTTATCTTTGTCATCTGCAAAATCCTTTTCTAGATTGTCATCTGAATCTATATGACCAAGTTTACAAAACATGGGATCATTTGCATATCTTTCTTTAATGACAGCATTTCGCAATGATTTCTTTGCCTTTTTTAATTCTGTGTACTGTTTATAGGATTGTTTTTGAATGTTTGTCTGTTGTTTTTTCTTGTCTCTCTTTACTCCACGTATATTGGTTGGTGGTGTTACACTGTACAGAATTCCTGCTGGCATCTCCTCAATTGATGTACACTGAGAATCTGTTTCATCATCACTACCACTGCAGTCTGCGTCATGATGCTCCTGATTATTCTGGAGACAGAGTTTGCTGTAAAACCAATCAAAAAATTAAAAATTTGATCAAAGAAAATTTTATTTTAAACATAATCATTTCATATAACTCTATATTTAGCATATTACAATGAAATACACCTCCTAACATATTTATAACGCCATTTTCACAGTATTGGTGTTTTTTCATACTCACTGTTATAATGCACTCTGCATTAAAATATATGATTAAAACCTCAACATTTATGACCAATTTATGATCAAATGGTACCCCTAACAAGTTAAATGATATATAATACTCCCATGTTCTGTACAATAATAATATTAAAGATTTACTACTGAAAAAAAATGGGGTATAATATGCATTATGCTGTTGCAGCTAAAAAATGGCTTTATTATTCAGTTTTTGTTTCAGGAGATTTACGAAAGAACCCACAATGCCAAATCATTGTAAAATTATCCCTCTTTTATATGCAATTCACTGTATGTAAATCAACAAAATATAAGCGAAGTAATGTTAAAATATGTGCAAATGCAGATACGTTATTTTAAATAATTCTAGTGTTTGAACTTGCCATTTAAAAGGAGAGGCCCATGGACCACAACGCTCACCTGAGTAAATTTGGCCTTGCTGTTTTTCACCTGATTTCCCCCCTTGTAGTACTTATTGTGGCCCCGCCCTACCCCCGGGGGTCATGATTTGAACAATTTAGAATCTACACTACCCCAGCATGCTTCCACTTAAGTTTCAGCTTTTCTGGCCCAGTGGTTCTTGAGAGGAAGTTTTTAAAAGATTTATTCTACATATTTCAATGTAAAACTTGGATTCCCTATTGTGGCCCCGCCCTACCCTCAGGGGTCATGATTTGAACAATTTAGCATCTACACTACCCCAGCATGCTTCTATTTAAGTTTCAGCTTTTCTGGCCAATTGGTTCTTGAGAAGAAGATTTTTAAAGATTTTTTACTACATATTTCAATGTAAAACTTGGATTCCCTATTGTGGCCCCGCCCTACCCCGGGGGTCATGATTTGAACAATTAAGCATCTGCACTACCCCAGGCTGCTTCCACTTAAGCTTCAGCTTTTCTGGCACAGTGGTTCTTGAGAAGAAGATTTTTTAAAAAAATTTCTACATATTTCAATGTAAAACTTGGATTCCCTATTGTGGCCCGCCCTACCCTCAGGGGTCATGATTTGAACAATTTAGCATCTACACTACCCCAGGATGCTTTCACTTCAGTTTCAGCTTTTCTGGCCCTGTGGTTCTTAAGAAGAAGATTTTAAAAGATTTATTCTACATATTTCAATGTAAAACTTGGATTCCCTATTGTGGCCCCATCATACCCCCAGGGGTCATGATTTGAACAAACTTGAATCTTGAGGTCAAGGTCAAAGGGCAGGTCAAGGTCATTTTTAAAATACATTTGAATAGCTCTCACTAATGTGTATCAGCATACAAGTTTTATAAAAACATGTTGAACAATTTCTTTGAAACTCAGCTAAACACAAAGTGTGATGGACAGACAGAAAGAAGACAGACATGACAAACACATATGCCCCCACCATTATCATGGCATATATGGCATTAAAAAATTCCATTTTTTATTATATAAGAAAATTCTTATCCCAAGTTGTAGCCCCACACTAGCCCAAAAGGGTCACGACATTTAACGTAACTGGAATAAACACATCCTGGGGATGCTTCAATATCATTATGACTAACATGGCCTTTCTGTTCTGCGGAAGAAGTGAACATCTGTAAACATGCATTCATTGATCATGTTTCTTTGTATTTGTGCAGACATAGATGTCACAGGCAATTGTTTTGTTTATGGGGCCACTTCCTTCTTTTTTTTAACCACAATTAAGGTACCTAATTCAATTTCAGGCAACTCCCTCTTCCATAGTTCGCTTCACAGACTTTTTTCTTTTCTAATAAATCATTCCATACGCCCTTCATGCAGCTTCTGTATTCACAATTTTAAAAGAGGCACACTTGCTCATCATAACCACACACTTTATATGTTTGCTAAATACCCATGGGCTTTAAGAAGAAGATTTTCAAAGAATTAATGCACTATATATTCAACAATTCAACAGACACCCGGCCCGCCCCTTCAAACCCCTGACCCTGGGGCCACTTATTTCACGATTTTGGAAGAGCTAGGCATCCTTGCCATCATAACCAGTTTAGTTTATCTGCTAAATACCCAAAATACCCAGGAGAAGAAATAATGCACTTTCACTATATAATCAAAAAAAACAAAACAAAACAAAAAAACCCCTCACCTTAGGGTCACAAATTTCACAATTTCCGAAGAGGTACCCTTGATCATTATAACCCTACACCTAGTTAAATAGCTAAATATACAGGTATAGAGCCAAAAATTTTTAAAGAATTTATGCATTTTCATTATAAGATCACCCTGCATGGTGCCATAGGGGTGCAACGATACACTAACCTCACGATACGATACGTATCACGGTATTCAGTTCACGATATGATACGTATCACGATACATGACAAGGTTAAAAAGTCTTTCAAGTTTGTATCATATTTTTTTTAAACCTTGGCAGGGTTATATAAAATGTTCATATTTTTCTAATAATGATTAAAATAAAATTTTGTTAACTTGAATTGGATTGTTAGGTAGATCTTTGAGTTTTGACAATTTTCTAAACCAATGATGAACATTTACAGGGAACTACGGGGACCTTTCCTAATAATCTTCCTTTTAAATTGGAATGAAATAGGAGTTGTCATATTTCTCATGTTAACACGTTTTAGTCAACAAGACAGTGAATTTTCATTGAAATACACAGGTGATGAAATATCGTGTATTACCAAAGAATACGTTTAGATCTAAAGGGTTTATCATTAGTCTTAACATCTATAACTTATAATTACATTAAGTCCTTCTCCGTGTTAAATCTGAGGTCTGTAAGATGCTGGAGATGAGTTTAACTTCCGTTAATGTGTTATCGGCGACCTCACGTTTTGCGCGGAAGCCATTTTGAAATTGTAAAAAAGGAAACAAATCGGACGATTCGGATAATTCTGGACCGATTGAACCGAACCGCGATATCAGTTTAGCGTATCGTGAATTGAACCGTGGAAAAATATACTGCGATATACCGTCAAACGGTTTATCGTTGCACCCTTATGGTGCCATGAATTTCACAATTTTGGTAGAGGGCTTAATGCTTATTATAATCATGCCAACAGGTTGACTGCTTGATGTCCAGGAGTAAAGAAGATTTTTAAAGATTTTAGAAGAAGATTTTTAAAGATAGCCTATTTTTGATGGTTCTAGCCCCACCTCTAAGGCCCCAAGAAGGCAGGGACCATGAAATTTAATACACCAATATGACTGATAAAATAGATTTATTTCAAGATGACTCATCCATAAATGTCACATGCAAAACTCTGATATGGCTTGTAAACACATGATAGCAGTTTTTCAAACCTTTGAATCTTGTGTGTTATCTAGGAAGCACAATTATTGCTTTCATTTTGTGAATTTCAGTCACTAGAGTGCAGCCAACCAATGGGATTACTTATCATTTATGCCTCATTGCATATGACACCTGTGATTATGTATAACACACTTCTTTGGTCAAGTTTGAGTACTTGATTATGCAGCAGCTTTTTCTTGCTTCATGATTTACAAAAAAGCCTGGGCACACTTCCCTTATACATGTATAGTAAGTGTTAAGCTGAAAGGGAATTGTTTCTTTTAACTGTGTAATAAACAAGAGGACCATGGGCCTAAATGCTCACCTGAGCCAATATGGTCCTGCTGTTCTTTATCAGTGGGTTTTTTCTATTATATATTCCTTTGTAAAACTTTGATCATCCACTTTGGCCCCAACTTACCCCCAGGAGTCATATGACTTGAAAAATCTTGAATCTACACTACCTGAGGATGCTTCCATGATCAATATGACTAACCATGATTTTGCTGTTCTTGAGCAGCAGATTTTTTTCCTAGCATAAATTGCTATGCAAAACTTTGATCCCCCACTATAGCCCAACCAAGACAAGGGTCATGTTTTGAACAAACTTGAATCTACACTATATCATGATAGTTTAATTCACATAAGTTTCAAGTTTTTTTGGCCCAGTTGTTCTTGAGAAGATGATTTTTAAACTACATATTCCTGCGTAAAAGTCTGATCCCCATTGTGGCCCCACCCTACCTCAGGGGGTCATGACTTGTATAATCTTGAATCTACACTACCTGAGGATGCTTCCAAATCAATATGATTTATCATGGCTTTGCTGTTCTTGAGAAGATGTAAAACTTTGATCCCCCATTATTGGCCCCACCCAACCCCTGGGGCTCATAATTTCAACAAACTTAAATCTACACTATATAATGAAGGTTTATTTCACATGTTTCAAGTTTTTGGCCCAGTTGTTCTTGAGAGGAAGATTTTTCAAGATGCCACCAAATTGTCACTAATTCTTAATTATCTCGCCTTGAAAGAGGGCATGGCCCTTCATTTGAACAAATTTGAATCCCCTTTATCCAAATATGCTTTGTTGCAAGTTTGGCTGTAATTTGCCCTGTGGTTCTTGTGAAGAAGTTGAAAATGTGAAAAGTTTAAGCCGGACGGATGGACAGCCTGACAACAGACAAAATGTGATCAGAAAAGCTCACATGATCTTTCAGCTCAGGTGAGCTAAAAACACTTCTGTTTCACTCATTTACCCTCTATTCTCATGTTTGCTTTGAGTAAAAGATTAGGTGCAAAAATATTTATACATCCTCTAAATATTTAGCATCTATAAAGTGCACAAACTACAATATTTACTACTGCAAAAAGCTCAAGAAGAGTGATGAATTATTAACTACAATGTAGATTTCTTTACGAAAGTTTATCTGTATTAAAATTGTGAAATTGAATATGTTCAGCACTTGCTAACTCATATATAAAATCATTCATTCTAATTTAGTCATTAGTTAATATATCATTTCTTTCAAAGACAGGGATTTATCAGCCTATTTTGGGAAACGCCATTTTTAGGGAATTGGGAAAATATTATCGGCTATTTGCTGAAATTGGGAAAAAATAAAAATCTTCTTATCGTCACGTATTCAGGTGTAATTCATTATCATTTCAGCATGAACTCTAATTTGGGCAACCAAACAGACAATTAAATATGATCCAACTTCATCATATACATGATGAATAATAGACTAATAAAACTAAATTTGACTTCAATAAGTATAAAGTATTTATACAACTTAGGGTAGTACATGAGTCTATGAGATTCCAATTTAGGTGATAAGAATATCTGTTTCTGGAGATAATAAACCTCCTGCAAAAAATTATACTAGGTACTCATATTTTCTCAAAGTCCCTTTTTAATATTTATAATTGCATTGAAAATATATTTTTCTATCCGAAATATATGGCTATAGTTCTTACCATTCACTCATAGGTCAATTGATTTGTTTGTATGTTGTTTAACGTCCCTCTCGAGAATTTTTCACTCAATGACATATGGAGACGCCACCACTTGCCGGTGGAAAAGCTGCAAATTTTGACCTATACTCAGCACTTATGGCCATTGAGCAGTGAGGGATCTTTTTCATGCCAGCACCTACTGCGACACGGAACCTCGGTTTATATGGTCTCATCCGAAGGACCGGTCTCCACGTCCCACAGTGGGATTCAAACCCACGACGTAAGGATCAACTCCTTACTTCGCGACTCTAGAGCAGACACTCTAACCACTTAGGTCAATTGACTTACAAATCTATATTATTACACAATATCACCATTTTCAGAAAAAAGGAGGAAATTCAGATTAAAAGTCAGCGATGTTTACTAATAGTGTTTATAAACGTGTTATGACTGTAGCTTTGCTAAATGAGATAAACAGCGGAAAATTACAGACAACCTGATAATTTTACTGAGTTTTTTCCAAGATAAATAAATATAAAAGCATTGTTCACCAATTGGGTAAAAATACTGCCAAATTGGGAAAAACTGAACTCATTTTCAATTGGGAATGGGGCCGAATTTTGCCCCCTGAGAAGATACTGATAAATCCCTGAAAGACATCATAAAAATAATTTCTGAACCATTGCTTCTATTACACATGCAAACCATTATTTGAAATATTAAATTTTCAAAGATGGTTTTAGAAGGAGTGACTTTATCAGATTCTCAGAGTTTTCATATCATTTGTCAACATAAAAAATTAAAGTGACAGCCATTGATCATTGTGTGTTTAATCAACCCTAAAATATCATCACATCATCTTTTCCAGGCACTAAATGTTTAATAAATGAATTTTATGCATTATATCTTTATAATTTAATTTTGGTTGTAACACATCATTTGATTGGATAAAAAAGTAGAATGTATCGAATAACCTGGGTTGCCTACGTCACAATGACTTATGTCAAAAACGTATCAATCTGCTTGACGTTACATTTAAAATACATAAAATTTGAAGGCATTTTTGAAGGAGAAATTATCTTAATTTTTACACTTAATGATGGAAAATTAAATTATAGGGAATGAATTTAATAGCTACCCAAGTTATACTGGTATAACCTGGGTTGGAACAGTTTACGTTTTTTTATAAACCGCTTCATGGTTTATAAAGCATAAACTGCCCCAACCCAGGTCATACCAGTATAACTTGGGTAGCTATTAAATTCATTCCTTAAATAACATGAAGATAATGCCATTATACAGATATGCTTTTTCAGTGCTCCAAGTTGCAACTAAAATGGTTGCATTTGTGAACCAAAAATTTATTTTGCGACTAGAAATTAAAACTTACTCATATTTTTATGACCAAGAAAATTTGGGCCGGCAATTGTACATTTTTATGATCGGGATCGAGATTGACTTTTTCCAAGATTCTCTATCAAGAACATGTTTGAAGACATTCCTAAATCTCTGTAAAGCATTGCAAAGACTGAGATTATGTAATCTTATAACAGCATGCTGTATAGAACGGCTGCCAAATGTCATAGACTTTTTAGAACCCAACCTTGTTAATGGAGCATTTGGTCAATATTGCTTGCATATCATCATGTTTTGGCAATGTTAACAGCAGCTGTTAAACTGTTTATGTAATGATAATGTAACATAACAAACAGCTGACAGTCTTATCTCAATAGTTTCACCTTATGCGCTCATCAGTCAATTTAATTCACTGGATTTGATTTTAATTCTTAGATAAAATCACCTGTGCTCTTCTAGAGTATATGGTTCCTTCAGTCTAGCAAATTGATTAGGCCTAATCACAGTAATAACTAGTTATAATTGTAACGGGGACCGTTACAGATGTTCCCAAAATGCTCCTCAACTCTCTTTTGGTGTCAAGCTTCATTAATTAAGGCAATCAAGTATATTGGTTGTTTAACGCATTACACGCATGCGCACGTGCATGTATGTGCAGGATTGCCATGTCATCTCGTCTATACTACAAATGCATCTTAATTCTGAGTATCAAAACATTTCATCAAAAAATATAAAAGTTACGGCTATATCAAGTATATTGGTCATTTAAGCATTGCACACGTGCATACATGTTCATGATGACCATGTCATCCTGTCTACTCTATTAATATATTTTATAAAACTTAGTGTGAAAGAATTTCATCAAAAAGTATATAAGTTACGGCTATATCAAGTATATTGGTCATTTTACGCTTTGCATGTGCATGTTGACCATATCATATTGTCTACTCGATTATATTTCTTTATTCTGAGTATCAAAGCATTTCATAAAAAAGTATACTGCTATATCAAATATATTGGTCATTTCAGCATTGCACGCACGCGCACGTGCATGGATATGCATGATGACCATACCATCTTGTCTACACGTTTAATATATTTCTATTTTTTGAGTTTCAAAGCATTTCATCAAAAAGTTAAGCAGTTACGACTATATCAAGTACATTGGTCATTTAACGCATTGTGCTCGCGCACGTGCATGCATGTTCTTACATTCAATTTTGATAGTAGCATAATGTAGGAATCCATTATATCTATTTATATTCTAGATTTCATCCTGTTTTGTTGAGAACCAAGAAAGTTATAGCCATTTAAAGTTTAAGCCAATCAGATTGCAGCACATGTGCATGCACGTGTTTTCATGACAATTCTTATATATTATATTGTAGAACCTCATAATGTATGACTATAATTAAAATTTCAAAGTATTTTGTCAAAAAACAAGAAAGATATTGAGACTTTTGTTTCAGCTAATCAAAGCAAAGCGCACGTGCATGCGCCCGAGTTCATGCTAATTTGACCATGCCATCTTGTCTACACTACTAATAAATCCTTATGTTATGAGTTTCAAAACATTTCATCAAAAAATATAAAAGTTACGGCTATATGAAGTATGTCAGTCATTTCACTCATTGCATGCACCCGCAGGTGCATCCATGTGCGCGCAAAATGACCTTCGTTACGCACATCTACACAACATACCTATTAATCCTAAAAAGGTTTCAAATCATTTGGAGTAGCAGTTTCCGAGAACACTCACGGACAAAAAAGTATCCAGGAAGAAAAATAATAATAGTAAGAAACAGAGTAAAAACAATATGTTCCTAAACTTCGTTTGGGGAACATAATTAACCTATGATTTAAGAAAATGATATTATACATGTACATATATGAGTGTTTGTTCCTTGCTTTTATGATATACTAAATGCGTTATTCACAAAATGTTTTCACTATGGCAAGTGAAATATTTTTGGATGGCGACCATAAATTCTGAAATGACAACCAAATTTTTTTTTAGCTAAGGTCACCATTTAGTGACTAGCTGATAGCAGGTGTGACTTGGAGCACTGTTTTCACTACTCTGAAGAGGAACAATTCCCTTTTAGCTTAACAGTTACTCTGAAAGGGAAATGTGCAAGACCTGTAAAATGAATTTTTATGGCAATTTATCATATGTGTTTTTTTAGAATATGGTTTGGATGCATTCACAATATATTTAATATTATACTATTGCCTAAATTAAACAGTTTGTCCATTAAAATATTTTGTTGGAAGGATACTGTATTAATTGGGACTCAACATGATTTTTTTCTGGGATGCTTCAACCTTAGATGGGATTCAACCTTCTCAGAAACCTTAAGTTAACAAAAAAGTTAACAAAATCCTGGTGAGAACCCTGCACACAGTACAAACAACAGCACTCCTCTGGAGCTAGTCCGAAATATCTGACGTTTTCCTGGGTTTTTTAACGATTTGATATTTTACAAGCCAGGAAAACGTCAGAACTGGCACCATTACGAAAAATGGGAATTCGCCGATTCCAACTAGAGGCGGCATTCTCGGGTTGATTTTCGATACTTGCGAACCGAATTAAATGCTGAATTCACAACTTATTAATAGTACAATACCTTTAGTACTTACCAACATCGATTTTATGGTTTGTTTATGAAATATACAGTCTGGGGAGAACATTTTATCAGACCGTCGAGTTTTCTTTTCATTTTGTGCATTTTAAAATCTTGCAAGATCTGTATCCAAATGTGGAGTGATATTTTCTTTTCATCGATATTGGTGAGTACTAGAAGAATTGTGCTACTGATAAATTGCAAGTTCGGCATTTAATTCAGTTCGCACGTATCGAAAATCAGCTCCGGTTGGAGACGGTGAAATTTCCAGTTTTCGTAATGGCGCCGGTTCTGACGTTTTCCTGGCACGTAAAATATCAAAATAGTGAAAAAGCCTGGAAAACGTCAGATATTTCCCAAACCTCTGGAGCAAGTCATCTTCTGCGAGATTATTTAGGCGTGCAAACATCACCATTGCATTGTTGCTACACAATTATTTGCAAAATATATAACATTCCTATAAAATAATATCCTCCTTACCTATTAAAATCTTCTTGTTCCTCTGCCAATGGGTTGAAATCTTCGTTTGGCGTTGTCGACAAGGGAGTTCTAAAATCCCTGTCCGCCATGTCAAATCTCGATAACTCTTGCTACAGATTTACTGAGTTATCTGTCCCTAGTGTTTTGTCATAGACTGGATTGTATTTATCACAGGCACCTGACTTGTGTTTGGTGTAACCCTCCCCCACCACCACCTCCGGGAAAGAATACGATATACGCTATATTAACTAGCTGTTAAGCTGTTAAGGAGGAATTTTATTTAATAGATCTTTGACTGTTGAAAGACCGATATCAGCTCTTAATTATTTTATACGATTTTTTTTTCATTTTTCATAGACAATGAAAAAAAATATTTTATTTGCAAATAAGATGCTTTATGGTTTAAATTTTCTGTTAATAAATGCATAATATGACTGTCTAATAGAATATGTAAAGAAAGGCTGGATAGACATTTCAATTTTTTAAATAAAAAATTATTTATGAAAATAAAATACACTGTGAATAATTTTATATTTATAATCTTATATATTTTGTGTAAAGCCACAGAAAAGTAACGAAACTCCCTGGTAACGTACATTTCTAAGACTAAATTTTATGATAAAACTTTAAAACGTCACAACTCAGAAACCCATCAATTCTTGTTGAAAAAAAAATGTATTTGTAATTTGAATTATTGATGTTTACCTATATCAATCAATGGTTTTTTTTTCTTTTTTCTTATAATTCATTTTATGGACGATGTCACATCTTTTATTGAGTTTGAGTGATCAATCACTAGATTGTCTGTATCATAATCCGATGCATTGCTTTATTAAGACCGCAGAACATTTTAAAACTGGCAAAATTGGAAATATGCAGCTTAGGTCAGTCAAAATGTTTAATGATAGACAATGAAATGGGTGGGTACAATTCGACACGGACGTCCGAGAAAACATTGGATCAGAATTCTAGTTTAAAATTCATTTTCAATCCACCTGAGCTGTTTTCAAACCTGAAGAGTGAATGTATGATCCAAAAGACAAATAATTTCAATTCCCAAATACATGTTGTTTGAAATTCATATTTATATGAGTATTTAAGCATATAATTTTAAGGACACATTTAAGGACACTATTAAAAGTAATAGAAGACAGGGATTATTTTTTCAGGGGATGGTCATTTGATTCTAAAAGGGGGGGGGGGCTGTCAAAAATTGTCGAATCAGATCATGCCTTCACATGACAGAATATATTTATTTCTAGGATGACAGAAGCTTTTTTTTTTTTAGTTTTGTCTTCACTGAAAAATGTTTGACACACAAATGCAGGGAGGGGTTGTCCAAACTAAAAGAAAACTTTCATATTTATTATTTATTTCCAAGATCGTTCAGCCCCCCCCCCCCTTCCCTGCACACATGCATACCAAACAGAAATCAAATATTTGTCCCTTTATATTTCTTTAAAAACACTGGACAGAAAATTCTGATTTATATAAATTTCAAACTATTCCAAAATTGAAATTATTTGTCTTCTGGGTCAACCAGAGAAATAGAAATACACCATAAAGCTAAACGTACAGATAATCCTCGTCACTGGCAAAAATTTAGAGAAATTCGTAACGAAGTAGTGAACTTAGTACGAATAGCTCGAAATGATTACAAAATAAAACTGGCCTCTCAACTTATAGATAAAACTATTCCCCCAGGTAAATGGTGGCGCATAGCGAAATCTGTCTCAAGACTTAAAAAACAAAATACCTCCCCTCCTCCTCTGAAAACTAGTGATGGTAGAATACTTATTCATCCTATTGATAAAGCTGAAGAGTTTAATACTTATTTTGTAAACATCTCACATATCAACACTGAGCCAGATCTTCCTGAACACGGACCCGGTCCGCCAATTAATTGCTTTGATGATTTTGAAATTACTGAACAGGATGTTCTTGATCAACTAGAAATCTTAGATACCACTAAACCACCAGGGCCAGATGGATTATCTCCAAGAATCCTAAAAGAAATACGATTCTCCATTTATAAACCACTAACAAGACTCTTCAACATGTCTCTCAGTAAGAAATGTCTGCCTTATATATGGAAACAAGCACATGTTTCTCCGATCTTTAAAAATAAAGGAAGCCCTGAAAATACTAACAATTATAGGCCTATTTCTCTTACTAGTTCTGTTTGCAAAGTCATGGAAAAAATACTTTTCAAGTATATGTTTAATTATATAAAAGACAACGAATTATTATCAAAAAACCAATCGGGATTTCAGCCTGGGGACTCCACAGTAAATCAACTAGTTGAAATATATCATAAAATTATGTCAAATCTCGATAAAGGCCGGGACCTAAGATTTATATTCTGTGATATTTCAAAAGCCTTTGATAGGGTTTGGCACAAAGGACTTATCTTTAAACTTGAAAAAATAGGCTTCCAAAATAATATTTTGGGCTGGATTAAAGACTACCTTACTGACAGGCAACAAAAAGTAAATATTGAAGGTTTCTCATCAACATTCAAAACTGTTGATGCAGGAGTACCCCAGGGATCTGTGCTAGGCCCATTTTTATTCTTATTATACATTAATGATATAACCGAAGGCATACATAATGGTATCCGTTTATTTGCGGATGATACATCTTTGTTTGCTATAGTAGACGCTGATATTATGACTCCTACATTATCTCTTACAGCCGATCTCGAAAAAATAAAGAAATGGTCAAACTCTTGGGCTGTAGATTTTAACGCTGATAAAACAATTAATGTTAACTTTACAAGAAAGCAGCGACTTTTTCCAGACATTCATTTTGGAGAACATGGGGACATTATTGAACCATCCAGTAGTCATATACATTTAGGGCTTCACCTCCAGTCCGATGGTAGTTGGAATAAACATATATCTGCTATTTACGAAAAAGCTTGTAACAGATTAAATATTTTGAGATTACTAAAGCACACACTTGATAGAAATTCCCTAATAAAGATATATTTTGCTTTCATTAGACCTGTCTTAGAATACGCAGATGTGGTATGGGATAACTGCTCTCAGGAAAATACAGAATTGTTAGAAAAGGTTCAAGTAGAAGCTGCAAGAATTATTACTGGTCTAAGAGTAAATTCTTCAAGATCTAATCTATACGACGAACTAGGTTGGGAGCCATTACATCAGAGAAGAATAAATCATAAACTTATATTATTTTATAAAATTGTCCATGGTATTGCCCCATATTATCTATGCGAATTATTACAGCCCTTCCAACCAGTGCAACATTCTTATAGTTTGAGATCAGACAGAAGTAATCTTTCTCTACCATTATGTAGAACTGAATCTTACTATAATAGTTTTATTCCTTCCACTTTAAAACTGTGGAATAATCTTAGCTCTGATGTAAAAATGTCACCTTCTTTATCAATGTTTAAGTCAAAAATAAAAACTAAACGACCATTTAGCAACTGTAAATATTATAACCATGGTAACAGAAAAGAGAATATACTTCACTGTCAATTACGCAGAAAAGCTAGTAACCTCAATGCACACTTAAAAATCATTATATAATAGCTGATTCATCTTGTCCTAGGTGTGATTACCATAATGAGGATAATGAGCACTATTTTATGAATTGTCCAGTTTACAGTATACAAAGAAATGAACTAAGAAAAAATTTACAAGAGCTAGGTATACCGTATGAACTAAAGACTCTTTTATATGGGTGTTCGAAGTTATCGTATCAAACGAACATCAACTTTACAAATTATGTGCAAGAATATATTAGGTCAACAAAACGTTTTTAAATACATTTCCTTATGATATATATATTTTTTACTATATTTCATTTATACTATGTGTTATGCTTAATTCATCTGGATCTGTGCGTGTCAGTGTGTGCTTGCGTGTGAGTGTCTGTGTGTGTTTCTGAAGGCGTGTCTAGGTGTGTGTTTACCCGCATTGTAATATATATATATATTCAGTCCATTGTATTTTGTAACTTTGATTCTTGTATAGAAAGGGTATTTATAGGCATTGCCTGTTACCCAATCGATTCATTATTTTTGAATAAATATTGTTTAAACCAACCAGTAACACCGTGCGTTCTAACGTAGCTGAGGTGGATTGAAAATGAATTTCAAACTAGAATTTCAATCCAATGATTTTTCGGACGGTCCGTGTCGAATTGTAACCGCCCATTTCATTGTCTATCATTAAATGTTTTGACTGTAACAGATGGGAATGACGTAAGCTGCATATTTCCAATTTTGCCAGTTAATGTTCCGCGGTCTTAGTGCATGTTGTAAAGAAGAAAAAATTTGTCCCTACTCGTCGTATCAAACTTACCAAATTACATGTACTTCAAATGCCTATTATCATTAACACTTTTGTCATTTGTTAAGGTATTCAATGTATAATGACCGTATTTTGTACCTAATATATCAATTTACATGTATGGTCTGATATTTTTAATCAAGGTAGCATTTTGAAGGTGTTATTAAATAAAAATAATCCATCAAGGAAATTTACAAAATTTTGATTATTGTCGAATTAATTGCATCTTAAATTTTACATCTCTTTGGGCAGCACATGTGTTATTAAGATTGTAAAAAGTAATTTGAACTTCATATGAATCTCTTGGTGAAAATAGGTATAAAATTTCTCTTTATTAAAATATAAAATAAAATGAACCATTTACTACAGATATTTTGAAAAAAAAAATCAATTTTTTCTTCTTGTCATCAAGGGCAGATAACTCTTCAAAAACGTGGCCAGCTTCTTACGGTCATGTTAATTTGGTTAATTTCACTTTCATCGTTATATAGCAATACATATTTAACTAGTTTAATTTTTTTTAGGGATATTGAACAATTTTGAATCATTTTAAATTTAAATGATTCAAAATTGTTCAATATTCCTTCATTATACATTAAATACCTTAATATCGGACTGTCTCAAATAAATCAAAAAGCATGTAATGTTTTAAGTACGATAAATGCTTTCCATTTATATTTTATAATTTTCTATTTGGATTGTATAATATTTTATTTGTATTCTATATTTTCCATTTGTATTGAAAAAAATTATTTGAATTGTATGATTTTTTTATTTGCATTCTATACTTCCCA